AACTAGAAAAAAAGTCGTACACAAATGATTCGAAACAATATTTCTGAAATTTGGTCCCTGTAATGGAGTGATGGTATTAATTAATTTGTACTAACTATTTTTTTTTGGTGAACCAGATGACGTCATTCAAATGCGGTGGATTTGCGATGGGAATCTCAACGAACCATACGACTTTCGATGGACTTAGTTTCAAAACCTTTCTCGAAAACTTAGCCTCTCTACTGAGTGAGAAGCCCTTATCAACACCTCCCTGCAACGACCGTACCCTTCTCAAAGCTCGTACTCCACCACGTGTCACATTCCCACACCACGAGCTCGTCAAGCTCCAAGACTCCTCCAACCCGACAGTCTTCGAAGCCACTTCAGAGCACTTAGAATTCAACATCTTCAAGCTATCCTGTCAACAAATCGAGAGGCTCAAGGAGAGAGCCTCAGAGAGTAGCAATGGTTGTGTTGGTGTGACGGGTTTCAACGTTGTAACCGCTTTGGTCTGGAGGTGCAAGGCACTCTCTTTTGCAGCAGAGGAAGAGAAGAAAGAGGATCTTGAAAAAGAATCAACGATTCTTTACGCGGTGGACATCAGAGGGAGGCTGAATCCTCAGCTTCCCTCTTCGTACACGGGGAACGCGGTTTTAACCGCATATGCAAAGGCAAAACGTAAAGAGTTGCTTGAAGAGCCGTTTGGGAGAATAGTGGAAATGGTGGGAGAAGGGTCGAAGAGGATAACGGATGAGTATGCGAGATCAGCTATAGATTGGGGAGAGTTGTACAAAGGGTTTCCGCATGGGGAAGTTTTGGTTTCTTCGTGGTGGAAACTCGGATTTGCGGAAGTTGAGTATCCATGGGGAAAGCCTAAGTATAGCTGTCCCGTTGTGTATCATCGGAAAGACATAGTTTTGCTGTTTCCCGACGATGGAGATAGTAAAGCTGTTAGTGTCTTGGCTGCTTTGCCTTCTAAGGAGATGACCATGTTTCAGCATTGGTTTGAAGATACCCTCTGCTGATTTCATCTTGCCTTCACTTGGTTCGGTCTTTTCAGTTTTATACAATATTTATAGTCCTTGGTTTGGTTTGCTGAAATTTCGATTTTATCCTGTTCGGTTTTTAAATTCAAAAAGTTGTAATGTAAGCACAAAAGATATTGTAAAATCTCCACAGTTTCAAGGGTGATGACTGGAAATGAAAATAAGTACAAAAAGATGTATAGTTTTTACCTGAACAAACAAAGACCTCAGGTTGCTTCTTCTTAACCGATTTATCATTCCCTCATCTCAAAAACACTTCTCCGATACATACCATTTGTATCCACAAGAGGTAAAAAAGGATGTAACCAAGTTGAGGGATGTAACT